TATCCATCTAGCAGTACATAGGGATGGGAGAGATATTTCACTATAAACTTACATTTTTGTTTTTGTATCATATGAAGGTATTACCTATTCAAAAATCAAAATATTCTTTCTGGGAAAAAAAAGAAAAAAAGACAAACCAAAACTTCCCCTCCCTGCCTGCCAGTGCCTAAAAGTTTGTACCATCCATAGTTTTGGTTTTGTTTTTTAAGGCAAAGCCTCACTGTGTATCCCTGGCTGGCTTGGAACACATTATATAGACCAGGCTACCCTCTAACTCACAGATATTTGCCTGCCTCTGGCTCCCAAGTGCTGGGACTAATGGAGTGTGCCACCACACCTGTCCACTCGTAGTTACAGTACAGATTTCTTTGTTATTTTTGGTCTACATGCTGTATCCATCATGTCTCCTATAGGAAGACAATCATTGACCAGCATGAGAAAGAAATTCACTACCTACAGGATGTCTTCATGGCCATGGAGCAGAACTATATAGATTCTGAGTATGAGAGCAAGCTAGAGTTCCAGAGCATGTGGGATGATCTGAAAAACAAGGTACAGGGGGAGAAAGGAAGGATGGGATCTGGAGAGACATGACGGAAACTGTTCAGGGCAAGCTGAGCTGGATGAGATCCCCAAAGCCAACAGTCAATAAAAGTCTGTTGCCCTGAGGGGGCCCCATGCTTCTTTGTGATCTTGTGAAAACTGCTTGGGAGGCAGGACTGGTCTAAAACATTCTGAGAATGTATTTTAGGCCAAAACAAAAAACAGAAAAACAGCCGGGCGGTGGTGGCGCACGCCTTTAATCCCAGCACTCGGGAGGCAGAGGCAGGAGGATCTCTGTGAGCTCGAGGCCAGCCTGGACTACAGAATGAGTTCCAGGACAGGTTCCAAAGCTACACAGAGAAACCCTGTCTCAAAAAAAAACCCCCAAAAAACAAAAACAAAAAAACAGAAAAACTAAACAAACAAAAAAATCACCACCATGACCAACAACAAAAAACCAAGAGATCATCTGGCTTTGTCCTTTTGAGTTGTAGATGAAACAAAGACCCAGAGTAGCCACATGAGCAACTTGATTCCACTGCTGGTTTGTGATTGGTTCAGGACAATCTAGGTCAGTAGAATTTTGATCCATAATTCCATCTTTCCATCATAGTTTGCAGTCTAGTCAGCATGCAGAAGTTTGGGTATAGAATTCTTGGTTATCAATTAACTTACTTTTGAGACTGCATCTTCCTTAGCCCAGGCTGGCCTCGAACTCACAGAGATCCACCTGCCTCTGCCTCCCGAGTGCTGGGATTAAAGGGGTGCACCACCACCACCCGGCTGTTACCTTAAACTTCTGATCCTCCTGCCTCCACCACCCGAGTGGGGTGACAGGCATGCACCCTCATATCCAACCCGATTCAATGCTAGGCAGGCACTCTAAGCTCCACCCCCAACCCTTGCTTTTACGTTAGTCAGTGTTTTATTTTATTTACAAGTTGAGTAATTTCCTACATGTGAAAATTGAAAATCAGATTTCACATGAAAATCCCAACTATCAGTTTCCCTTTAAAAAGTCAGGTGGTGGTGATGGTGCATACCTTTAATCCCAGCACTATGAAGGTAGGAGGTAGTGGCAAACGGATCTCTCTCGAGTTCGAGGCCAACCTGGTCTACAGAGTAAGTTCCAGGACAGCCAAGGCTACATAGAGAAACCTTGTCTCGCAAAACAGAGAGAGAGAGATTTGGAACACGGGGCCTTATTCTTTTTTTGTTTTTGTTGTTTGTTTGTTTGTCTGTTTTTGTTTGTTTTGTTTTTTTCTGAGACAGGGTTTCTCTGTGTAGCTTTGAAGCCTGTCCTAGAACTCGCTCTGTAGACCAGGCTGTCCTCGAACTCACAGAGATCCGCCACCACCTCCCATCTCCTCATTCTGTTTCCAGTTGGCATTATTCTCATGGAGCTGGGCCCATGCCCACACTCTCCTGTCCAGGTCATCATGCACTGCCCTCGGAACGTAATTCACTAAACGCTGCTCCCCACAGTCCCTGAGGGTAAGGCTGCTGGTGGGGGTGAACGGGCACTCCGAGGGTAACTCTAAGCAGTTGGTATTTGGGATACATTTCCTAGAATTTGGAAGAGAAGCACTTTCTTCGTCTACAACTGGAGAACATAGTGGAGGATCTGTGGAGAAGGTTCCAGGACGCACTCAAGAACTATACCGAAGCCACGGAGGACCGGAAGGTCGCCTTTGAGACTCTGAAGGTGAAGGATGAGAAAAGCTCCAAAGAGATTGAAATGCAGATGAAGAAAATCCAGAAGCTGCAGGTCAGCGCTCAACAGGAGACACTTCCCGGTGTCTCGCGTGTTCTTTTGGGGGTCTCGCTGGTTGGGTCAAGAAGACAGACTCTGCTCTTAGCCCCTAGTCTACCCACTGTCAGTGGCCCCTGCTGTCCCTCTAGGAGGCCATCGCTGCCTTGAAAGGGAAGATCGTAGCCTACGGCCGTGAAGGTGAATGGCAGAACCAGTGTATCCGCACCGACAAGGAGCTGGTCCACGTACAGCTTCGGAAACTTAAGGCCCAACGGATGCAGGCTCGGGGCAAGTCTCAGGAGAACTTAGTCAAACTCACCCTGGAGAGCAATGCCGCCCTCAAGGGCCTGAAAAAGGTCGTGGAGAAGGTAAAGGGGACAAACCAAGAAACCTGGCTGGAGGCGAAAGGGATTCGGGGAGACATGGGGCGGGGCTCCCTCCTCCTCCTCCATCAAGTGGTGGATGTCTGTGTTAGCTTTTCTTTTAATTCTATTCTCTTTTTGAAATGAACAGGGATTCTTCAGCTTCCTGAGTCCCCACTTTGCTTTGCAGAGAGTCTTTTTCTCTGTGTGTCTGATGCATGAATGTTTCCTCACGCCCCAGTAAACGCCGCTGTCTTCCAACTGGTGATTCTGCATGCAGCCCGGAAGCTTAAGATCTCTCTGCTGCTACCTGCTCTGCTGTGCTTCAGATTTTTTCTGCCTTTAATTCTTTAACTGGCAGAGGAAATCAAGACCCCTGGACTGTATTATTTCTAGACTACATCATTTTGGGGGGCTTGTCTCTGGATTTCTTCTGAAGACAATATCATTTTGGGACCTAATCTACAGATTTCTTTTGAGACTACTGACTCCTCAAGATGGCACTTGCAGTCGTATGACATGCTCCAAAGACAGACACTGTCACTAAATGGCTGTCTTATGCTCTGGATCATTACCATTGGTTAAGTTTTATTATGGCCCCTTGGACAGAGTCCTCTTAGGCTGACCCCCAATATCAACCTTTGGTCAGCTAAAAGCAGCTAAGAGCAGTGGTCATCGCCCCCAAACACCCTAAGAGCAGTTAGGGTGACCTCTGAGATGGGAGCCAGAGAATGACAAGAGACCAAGAGTTGGACAGACTTCCCGGTAGGCAGACAGATAGGGAGAGGAGGAGCCACAGCTAGGTAATAACGGTGGTGAACTTTCAAGATGGTCACTTCTTCCTCAACCTCCAGACTTGAGAGAAAAGCCTGGCAGCTTTTGTGTCCCACCAGCAGGGCACCTAGCTCAAGAAGTTCAAGGCCTGCTCAGGACATGTCACACATGGTTGCAGACCAATCAACCCTCCTATCTGCTTCCAACTGACCAGCTCTAAAGTAGGGAAGGAAGACTCTTCAGAGCTTTATAACCAGGCCTCCAGAAGGGACAGGACTTTCCAGCTTCCCCAGCTCCCCCTCTGTGTGTCTGCTGCATGTGTTTCCTCGTCCCCAGTAAATGCCTTTCTTTTTTCTAGTTTTTCGAGACAGGGTTTCTCTGTGTAGCTTTGGTGCCTGTCCTGGATCTCGATCTGTAGACCAGGCTGGCCTTGAACTCACAGAGATCCACCTGGCTCTGCCTCCTGAGGGCTGAGATTAAAGACATGCACCACCACCACCACCTCCCACCCCCCACCCCCGCTCGTAAATGCCTTTCTTAACCGAAAAGAAAAAGAAGTAATAGCTGCATTTGTGGTAAGAATGTGAAATGCTGGGCTAGTGCTTGGCCCGTGCCAGGCGCTGCATCAACCGGGCGGGCTTCCTACTGACCGAGCTGCTTTCCTGGGCTCAAGCAGGGGGACTATCTTGTTTTTCCTAAGACATCTCTTCATACTCCCAACAGGGTGAAAAAATCCTTAAGCTTGCTGAAATATGTAGGAAATTTGAAACAGAGGAAGAAAAGGTGCTGCCTTTCTATTCCTCAGTATTGACTCCCCAGGAGCAGGAGGAGGTGGAGAAAGAGAATCCAGAAGAGCTCACTGAGGAGCTTGCCAAGGTAAAGGAAGGGGCAGGTGGGGGCTGGGCAGCATCTGCCAAAGGGGACCGTCACATCCCTCCGTCCTGTCTCCACTCTCAGGTTATGGTGGACTATTCAGGGATGGAGAACTTCTGGAAGAGATACAACAAGGTGAAACTGGAGGTCCTGAGTCTGGAGCACAGACGAGGGCAGTTGCTTGACATCAGCGGGAAGCTGAGGGAGATGCTCAAACAGTACCTGGACGGCATCTCTGTGAGCGACGAGGTGCTGAGCCAGCTGAACCCGCTCTTCATCGTGAACCATAGAAGCAACCTGCCCCAGCTGCCTGCACCTGCCCCGTCAGGGGACGGAAAGCCTCCAACCACTTACAACATCATTGAAGCGGCTCACGTCATCTCCCACACTCTGTGATCCCAGGAGGGGCCTCTTCCCAAACCTCGGAGACTTCTTTCTTGAAACCTGAGTGCTTTGCTGTTACAAACGTAGACGGAGGATCCAGACAGTACTCTAGTTGTTGACTACCACTACCCTCTGCAGCAGAATCAATACATTATTCTTTTTTAAATACAACTTTCTTCATGATTTATTTTTATTTTTGCGTGCATTGGTCTTTTGCCTGCATGTGTGTCTGTGTGAGGGTACCAGGCCTCCTGGAACTGGCGTTACAGTTAGGAGCAGCCACGTGGGTGCTGGGAATTGAACCTGGGTCCTCTGGAAGAGCAGTCAGTGTTCTTAACCGCTGAGCCATCTCTCCAGCTCCAGTAAATTCTTAAAAAAATTATAAGTTTCTTTAAAAAAAAAAAAAAATCTCATGCAGGCCTTAACTCCCTGTGCGGCTGAGGATGACCCTGAACCTCTGATCTCTGATCCTCCTGCTGCCTCTGGGATTACAGCTGAGTACCACCACATCAGTTTTGCTGGCGCTGTGGACTGATCTCGGGATTTTTGTTTGCATTCTAGACAGGAATTCTACCAACTGAGCCCTTATTCTCAGCCCTTGTAAGATTTTTATTTTCTTTGCCGTCTTCAAGAATACGAACATTCTGGTCTAGGGGGAGAGTGCCTAGGGGCCTACTAGGAGGGGAATTGTGCCGCCGCCTCAGCATCACCGCACCAAGGGAGCCAAAGAGATACCCCAAAGACCCAAGGCAGCTTCAAGACCAGTTTCCGGGGGTAAATTAGGACAGCGTGAGCAGGCCAAGGTGTGCTCCAAGGCCTCCAGCCCCTCAGCCACAGGCAAGATCCAGCTTCACAGTGCTCTGTTTTCTACCCAAGAAAAGCAGCCTGAAAGCATTGGGTGCACAGGATGTGTTGGTACACATCCGTATTTGTAGCCTAGCCAGGAGGCTCACGAGTCTGAGGCCAGCTTGGGCTACAAATGCAAGACCGACCCCATCTTCGAAGGAAAGGGGAACCAGAGAGATGGCTCAGAGGGTAAAGCACCTGTTTCTGAAGTCGGTGAGCTCAGTTCAATCTCTGGAAGCCGCCTACAGGTGGAGGGAGAGAGCCAGCTTCACAGTGTCCTCCGATTCCACATTCAAACCAGCGCACACACACAATAATAAGTAAAAAAACAAAATGGCCGGGCGGTGGTGGCGCACGCCTTTAATCCCAGCACTCGGGAAGCAGAGCCAGGCGGATCTCTGTGAGTTCGAGGCCAGCCTGGGCTACCAAGTGAGTTTCAGGAAAGGCGCAAAACTACAGAGAAACCCTGTCTTGAAAAAAACAACAAAAAAAAAACAACACAACAAAATCACTAAAAGAAAAAGGGGGTAGTCGTATCAAGCGAAGAATACAAAGTTTCTTAACGATCACTGTTTATTTCTTTTTACTCTTGTTCCGTTTCTCTTCTTTCAGCTTCTTTTTGGAGACTTTGGGTCTGCTGGCCTTTTTGTATAAGTGATACCCAATCAGGCCCAGGAGTGCTGGCACCATGGCCATGCCCACCAGGGGCAAAACGCCCTTCAGCAGCTTTTGCCAGTAGTTGGCTCGAATCAATGCAATCAGCTCCACATCATACTGCACCACGGCATCCGCTAGAAAGGCAGAGGGCAGGGGTGGGGGTCAGAAGCTGCACCCCTGCACCCGCTGGAGAGGCTCTGGGGGAGGGGTGGGGGTCAGAAGCTGCACCCCTGCACCCGCTGGAGAGGCTCTGGGGGAAGGGTGGGGGTCAGAAGCTGCACCCCTGCACCCGCTGGAGAGGCTCTGGGGGAGGGGTGGGGGTCAGAAGCTGCACCCCTGCACCCACTGGAGAGGCTGGGGAGGGGGTAGAACTGCTGTGATTTATCCAGAGCTCTGAATGGGGATTAAACCAAGGTAGTCCGCAGAAAATAACTGTGATTCTGGCCATTTGAACTGTAGGGAAGGCTCCCTCAGAAAAGGCGGAAGAGGGTTAGGAGCAGGCTAAGGACACTCATGTCGATCTTAACTACAACTAAACACGTGGCTTGGAATCAAGGACAGATCTTTGACAGCACAGGAAATCTGTGGATGGGAAGCATGCGGGCTCTTCCATATTTACAAGTGAGCGTTTATTTAAAGATTTGTTTATTTTTATTTTAAGTGTTTTGCCTGATGCACCAAGTGCATGCTTGGTATCCTTGGAGTAAGGAGAGGGTGTCAGATTCCCCCAGGAACTGGAGTTACAAATGGTGGTGAGCCACCACCTGGGTGCTGGGAACTGAACCTGGGTCCTCAAGAGCAGCCAGTGCTCTTAACCACTGAGCCATCTGTCTGGCCCCACAAGTGAGCATTTATATGTGTGAGAATCCTCTGTACCAAACAGACCCCATTTCTAAACAGCCACATGGATAGGATTTTGTAGGACTATAATTAACTGGAATAAAAGCAGATATCCTTAAAAAGTCCACCCACCGATGAGCACATACAACACGACTGTGAGAGGATTTTCAGAAAAGGTCTGGGAAACAAGAGACGCGCTGAAGGAAGTGGTGGGCAGGGTCAGGCAGCTTCACATACAAGCCAATGAGGAGCACTGGGATGGGCGGAGACAGGGTCTCGCTCTGTAGACCAGGCTGGCCTCGAACTCACAGAGATCCGCCTGCCTCTGCCTCCCCAGTGCACCACCACGCCCACTTGATAAGAGAGATTTTGCTGGGCCCTCCCCACCCTCTTCTCAGGGCTCCCTTTAGTCTATCACGTTGCCAGAACTCTGTGGAGTAGATCACATTTTACCCAATAGCAAAGAGATGCCCATCTTGGAAAATCTGTCCTGTCTGTCTCCGCCCTCAGAACAGGCATCAGCAGTAGCACATGAAGGTGAATCCTAGGAACCGGTCATCGGGGTTACCTCCTTACCAGGGGGTTACCTCCTTACCAGCTCTATGTGAGGGCTCTTACTGTTGCCTTTTGGTTTGTTCTTACTTTAGTGCTCTGAGGTAAGTAGTGTAGCCAGCAAGACCCACACAGCTTGAGCAGGTGTCAAAAGTCACCAGCTGCTTGTGTCCAGCCAGCGGGCCCTAACAGGTTGTCTGCGGTCTCCAGTGGAGAAAAAGGGTAGGCCAGAAGGAGGGGCCCAGCTACTCCTTTCCTCAAATTTGATCTGGACTTTCTCAAGTTCTAGACAGGGCAGAGTGTGTGGCTCTGCTTTGATGGGTGGGAGAAAAGACCTACTCAGTTACCTGGGATAGATGGCGGGTACCCTCGCTTTCCATAGGCCAGGTGAGAAGGAATGATTGCTCTTCGCTTCTCTCTGAGGGAAGGAATGAGTCCCAGGCAGTAGAGAGGTGAGCTGGCAGCCCCGGCCAGCGCCACCGGAAGCACCTCCCACCTCAGTGACACCAAACGTGAATTTTCCCACCTAACAGGTTGACCAGCCAAGGTACCAATAACCTACACACCTCAACTGGCCCCAAAAAACCGACAGCCAGAGAGGTGCCCTCTGCTTTGGATGCCCTCAGGGGTTCCACTGACCTTCACCTTTCCAGTATGAAGGCAGGGGCCCTTTATCCTACAATGTCCTGCCTACTGGAGATGCGGAGTGGCAGAGAAACGTCCACCCAGGCAAAGGGGAGGTCAGGCCCGCCCCTGTCCAGATACTCACCCCACACACATGTCCAGAAGGCTCTGCTCCAGACCTTGAGGAAGAAAACAGAACTGAGCCACACACCGCCCAGGAGGGAAATCAAAGGCTCCCCATCGATCTTGACAAGTGAGCTTTACTCCGCTTCTCAAACTCAGGCCCCAGTGAAAAGAATTAGAACGCGAGGTAGCCAAAGATCCTTAGGGTCTTACTCATTCTAGAAGCCTGTCCAGCATAACTTTGACGTCCAAGACACTAAGCCAGGGCTTAGGTTAGGGAGAGGACAAAAGGCACAACACAGGTCACATACCTGGAATCACCTGCTTTTGGCCAAGTTCTATAACCAGAGGATCTCTGGTCAGAGAGGTGTCAATAATGCGTCCATCTACCAAGCTGCCCTGAAGACAAAGAGGAAGAACTAACGCCACCTTTCCTCCCACCAGAGAGGCCACACACACACTGGGACCGCCCAGAGGGGATGGCAGCAACCCTCGGCACAGCCTTGCACTGTCCCCGTTTCCCACCCCCACCCACCGTGGGGCAAAAAGGAAGAGGAAGCCCCAAAGGGCTGACACTTCTTGGAGATCTCTCCACCCTTCATTTCTCAGTGCTGGAGAGAAACTGGCGGGAAAACAGGGCGGAGAAAGGAGCAGACAAGAGTATACCCCCACTCCCGTCCCCACGTGCTAGCCGACCCTAGGACCCTAGGAGTCAGTTCCCTCGCACAGCTTGCCACGTGTCCAAGCCAAAGCTGACGTGTTTCATTCGGGCACCGCCCCCTCCCAGACCACGCCCCGCCCCCCCAGCCCCTCACCGTGTAGTGTATGTGCAGCGTGTCTCCAAAGGCAGCGAATTCCGTACACGACTCAGGGGGCTGTACCTATGATCAGACTCCAAGGGTCAAGGCTGCTCTTCCTAAGACCCTGTTACTACATCGAGACCCAGCACCTTCTCCCCCAGCTCAGTTCCAGCACTTCCTCTCCTCTTCGTTCTCAGGTTCATTCGAGCCCCATGCTCCCCCGCGATCCCTGGCCTAAAAGGGTGGCGGCGGCGGCGGCGGCGTGGGGGAGGGGGAGGTGGCCCGACAGTGTCCTCACCAGGGTCTCCACTTGGAGGGTCCGGAGGGGGCTTTCGGTTTCTGGCTCAGCCTCAGCCCGGCACACCGCCCCACCGAGCAGCAGCAGCAGCAGCAGCAGTCGGAGCGGCCAGAGCAAGGGGCGCAGGGACATGACCGGACGAGGTCGGAGCACCGGGGCACCAGGGCAGGCAGGCTGTTCGGGTGCAGGCGACCAGACGCGTTGCCTCAGCTCCAGGCCAGACTGGTGTGGGCGGGTCGCAAGGAGCGAGCTCCTCCTCCTGCCGCCCTCCCTCCACCTTGTCCCCACCTCCTGGAGGGAAGAAGCTGCAGCATTCATTCCCTACCCAGTGATCCCAGGTGGCGGATTCTGACCCGTCCGTTAGCCGTTCGGTCCCATGACGAGGGTTGGGCCATGTGACAGCACCTATTTGCCATTACCCACTGCAATGGGGGCGTTAGTCTCTAAAACCTTCGAATCACGGGAGGCACAATTGTTCCCATTTTACAGCTAAGGCACTTGCCTAGGGTCATCATGCTAACTGGTGAGAGACAGGATTCAAGCACAAGAATGCATTTGTCCTGTTCTTTCTACTTCTTCTCCTCCTTCTTTTGGCTTTTCTAGACAGTTTCTCTGTGTAGCTTTGGGGCCTTTCCTAGAACTCACTCTGTAGCCCAGGCTGGCCTCGAACTCACAGAGATCCTCCCAAGTGCTGGGATTAAAGGCGTGCGCCACCACTGCTCTGTTCTTTCTTCTAAGACACGTTCCCTCCCACTAAGCTGGCAGAGGCAGGTGTTCAAGACAGCCAACTCTTCACCTCACCCGATCATTCTTCCCTCAGTTACGACTAGAAAGAGTAACTGCCCCGCCCCCCCACACCTTGGAAGGGTTTCTTCCTGTAAAATGGGATCAGTCGCTGACCTTTCCTGGTTTCCCTCAACACCCTTTTCACAACAGCAGAATGTACAATGGCCTTGTGTTTGTGCAAGGACTTCCGTGTTTAGAAGGGTTTCAAGTAATTTTAGGTGGTCTTACCAGTTTCCTTTTTCATAATTTGAACCCTTCCTGAAAACTTAAGCTGTGGTCCCTAGATCCCAGTTCCTGGTCACTCAAAGGCTGTCACGGGGCCGTTTCATGCCATATACTCTTAGACAGTTTCTTGGTTCATGGTCATTTTTTATAATTTATTTGTATTTTATGTACATTGGTGTTCTGCCTGCATGTATGTCTGTGTGAGGGTGTCAGACCCCCTGGAACAGGAGTTACAGACAGTTGTGAGCTGCCATGTGGGTGTTGGGACTTGAACCCAGGTCCTCTAGAAGAGCAGCCAGTTCTTCCAACCACTGAGCCGTCTCTCCAGCCTTGGTTCATGGTCCTCTTTAGCACGGATATTATTCTTAGACACAACTCCACCTGTCTGGCCAGCACCTCGGTTTACACACACCCAACACACACTTGCTCTCATGTGAAACGCGCTGCCCTTCCTGCTCTGACCTTTCAGATGGCTCTCCTCTATCACACCGAGACTTCTTCACTCCCATGTCGAACCAGTCTCCTCCGGGTTCTTCTTCCCAGCCTCCCCAGTGCCTCCATCTCTAGGACAAACACTCTAATTAGGTTCTCATTTTCTCTGTTTTGTGGTACTGAGGATCCAGTCCAGGCATGCACCACTGAGTTGATGTTCCTAACCTAGGATTTAAAAACAAAAACAACAAACAACAAAAACAAACCAACTCATTGTCAGGGGCCAGACACTAGTGCTTCAGAGCACTTGCTGTTCTCCCAGAGGACCAGAGTTCAATTCCCTGAACCTACACCAGATGGCTCAAAAATGCCTATAACTGCAGTTCCTAGGGCCCCAACACCCTCATCTGGCCTCCACAGGTACCCAAACATGTGGCATACAGATATACATATATACATACACATAAGTATAAATAAATCTTTTAAAAAAATAACTCACGGCCAGCCAGGTGTGGTGGCGCACGCCTTTAATCCCAGCTCATGGGAGGCGAAGGCAGGCAGATCTCTGAGTTGGAGGCTAGCTTGGTCTACGGAGCAAGTTTTGAACTTGGGATCATCATGCCTCAGACTCCTAAGTGCTGAGATAATAGGTGTGGCCAACCACTCTTGACTCTGAAGAGTGAGCCAAGAGACAGAGCTTGTGCCTCGCGTTTTTGTTTCTTCAGTGCTCATGCCTGACACGTAAACACTTCATGGGTATTAACTGCATCAGATTTCCCTGCTGCTGGACTATGGTCTGGGTTCAGATGATCCCCCATACCTGTTCTGTACCCTCCAGGATGTTCAACTCTTTTCAAGCCCCAATTCTAGCTAACAGTGACTTTCTTCCCCTACATCTGAATGAAGCATACACCTACTCTCTTTTCCCTTTGTACATGCTTTGTCTCTCTCTCCCATTTCCCTCAAAGAACCAGCACACTGATGATAAGGAGCAAGCATGACATGCCTAAAGTCCCCTAGGTCCCAGCTGCATGATACTGGACAAATGTTTTGACTTTTCAAACAGGGTCTCTTACAGCCTGTACCGGTGTCAAAGCAAAGTTGCCTTAAACCCTTTTTTAAAATTTATTTATGGCATGTACTTACAGGCAGGCATGTGCCATGGTATGTGTGGAGAATTACTTGTCCCATGTGTTTACAGGCAGGCATCTGCCATGGTATGTGTGAATTACTTGTCCCATGTGTTTACAGGCAGGCGTGTGCCATGGTGTATGTGGCATCAGAAGACAGCTTGGGAGAGCTGTTCCACTACATGGGATCCCACACAGAACTCAGGTAGTCTGGCTTGGTGGCAGGTGTCTTTTCCTGTGGAACATCTTACTAGCTCAGCCTTGAACTCTAGTTCCTCCTCTACATCCCAAGTGCTGGGATTACAAGCCTTCAAACCAAATCCAGCCAAATGTTTTATTTTTAATAAACTGTTGAACTATTAAATGAGAAACCATTGAAATATCAAACTATACTTTGAAAATCTCTAAGACAAATGTATATGCTTCAATTTAAGAAGTAAATTAATACAAGTGATGTGAACTTGTATTGTAACTCTTGCCCATATATTCAGGAAAAAGTGCAAGGGCCGGATTGGGGGCTGGGGATGCAGCTCAGTAGAGTGTTTGCTTGGCATGCATAAAACCCTGGGTTCAACCACAGCCCTGCATTAACTGTGCTTGGTGGCACACATCTGTAATGCACAGCCCTGCATTAACTGTGCTTGGTGGCACACATCCGTAATGTCAGTACTCGGGAGGTGGAGGCAGGATTAGGAGTCCAAGTCATCCTCAGCTACATGAGCTCATAGGCCAGCCTGGGATACACAAGGCCCTCTGTCCACCCATTTTCAGACAGGAAGTGTGAGCCTGGCAACTTTAAGAGCTCTCTGCGCTTCACTGTTTACCTTCGCCCTGCCAAGAAGCAATGTCAGCTCTGGTGGTTTTGCTCTGACAGGGTCTATGAGCTGGCTGGGAGCTCCAGCTATGTACACCAGGCTGGTCTTGAACTCACAAACACCTGCCTGCCTCTGCCTCCTGAGTGCTGGAATTAAAAAGTCACATGCCACTCCACCGGCTGAGACCCTGTCTCTTAAAAACAAAAATCAAAGGAACCCGAAGGATGCACCCAGTGGCTGAGGCTGGTCAGGATTTCGGGTGGGAGTAGGAAGAGTGCAGGCGCAGGCGCAGGCGCAGGCGCAGGCGCGGCAGGCCGTTCTACGGGATGTCCACCTAACATCTGTGCACACTTACGTTGTCGGGATCACTGACAGGAACAACTGCTTGTTATAAAAATATGGGAGTGAACAAGATCTGAATCAGTGAGAGCCAGTGGTTCTCCACTTTCCTAACACTGCAACCTTTTAATACAGTTCCTCATGCTCTGGTGACCCCAACCTTCAAATCATTTCATTGCTACTCCATAACTGTAGTATCTGATATACAGGATGTATCTGATATGCGACCCCCGAAAGGTCACGACCCACAGGTTGAGAACTGCTTATGTATGAACCTGTGTAGAGGGTGTTTCATGAGTGAACCAATGGAGCCTTGACAGGAGAGTAAAAAGACTGTAAAGGTCATGAACTCTGTGGAAGTTGAGAGTCTGAGGAAGCTGAGTCAAGCCTGAGACTTGAGCTGCATCTTAAAGGAATACCTGTTTTGCTTTTCAGTCTCATGTTGCCCAGGTTGGCCTCAAACTTGTTATGTAGCCAAGGCTGACCTTGAATTTGAACTCAGCTCCTCTTGCTGTCACAAGCACTGAGATTACACCATCTGTTTTTCTGCAGCGCTAGGGCAGCATCCCAGGACCCTGCACACCAGGCAAGCACTCCACCACCTGAGTACATGCCCAGCCTACTGCGGATTTTTCAGCGAGGAAGGAAAGAGGGCTAAAGGCAAAGAGCCCGATGTCCGGAGGGAATGCCTGGGCCAGTGCGGCTGAAGCAAAAGGAGAGAGAGGCAAGTGGAGGGAAACTGAGGGCTGGTGCAGAGGACCTGGAGTGTGGAAGGTGGGAACGCGGAGTGTGAGCACAGCTGTCCTCCGCAGCACACACAAGCAGTGGCACACAGGTAGACAGACGGCTGTCTAGGTTCTGAGGCTCTGTAGGGCACATGACTGGAGGGAAGTGGGTAGGGTAAGGGAAGGCAGTAGTGGGAAGAAAAGGGTAAGGCCATCTCCAACAGTAGCCCACTGATGGGCTTGGGCAGGTGGTGTGCCTTCAATCTCTGAAGAGACTGGCAGAGAGGCAGACATGCTAGGTAGCAGGTTCCAGGCCAGCAGGGCCACAAATGAGACCCTGGCCCCTCCCCTCAATAGACCCTCTGAGGGCAACTGACTGAAAGGCCCCGGCCAGGGTCAGGGAAGCATCATTTCCATTAGACTGGGAAGGAACCTGAATTGTGGTTCTGAGAAAGGCAGAAAAGCTGCCCAGTGGCACGAGTGGACAACCACATCCAGAAATGCCTGAGCCTTGCAAGTGTCCGCTCAGTTCACACACAGCTGCCAGGTGTGAGCCGGGCACCGCTTCCCACGACCCCCTCTGCTGCTGGGGACTGAATCAAGGACTTACTTTGTTGTTTTTTTCCTGTACTGTGAATGGAACCCAGAGCCTCGAACATATGAAGCACACTCTCTACTGGCCCCCTTTAGGTGTGGCTTATACACTCCATCATCCAGGAATGATGAAGTTAGCGCCCAAATCCTGCAGCTGCTCTAACCAAGATCACGAACGCTCCACCCACACAAGGTGTGGCACACAGAACACTCCCCTTTCATCTGGAATCGGACGCAGTAAGGTCGACCTTACTGCCGTGTTTAGAAACCAGAACCACCCACTCAGCCTTCTATCCCTTAAGTCTCTGCAGCATTCAACTGTCCTAGGATAGCCCCTGCCAAGATAGCTGGGTTTTGTGTATGCAGTACCAGGGATCAAACCCAGGGCCTCCAAGCACGTGATCTCCACAGAACGGAGGAGTGGAGGGAGGAGGCACAGGTCAAGACTTAGTCCAAACCTCCCGTCTTGCCTGACCGCCAGGCAGCTCTCAGGAAGCAGCCTGCGAGGTGGGTGAGTGGGAGGAAGCCTGTGGAGAACTGCTCAGCTCTATCCACAGGGCACAGCAGTCTTACCTTCAGTATCCTCTCCACTTCTATACCCAGCTTAGAAGCCGCGCCGGCTCTAACTGAAGCCCAGATGCTCCCTCAGCGGACGGCTAGAGTGACACACACAAGCAGACACTCACCTTCTAGCCTTTTTTGTTTTTTTTTTTTTTGGTTTTTCAAGACAGGGTTTCTCTGTGTAGCTTTGCGCCTTTCCTGGAACTCACTTGGTAGCCCAGGCTGGCCTCGAACTCACAGAGATCCACCTGGCTCTGCCTCCCGAGTGCTGGGATTAAAGGCATGCTCCACCACCGCCCGGCCTTTTTTGGGTTTTTTGAGGCAGGGTTTCTCTGGGTAGCTTTGGAGCCTTTCCTGGAACTCACTCTGTAGCCCAGGCTGGTCTCTGCCTCCCGAGTGCTGGGATTAAAGGTGTGTATCACCACCACCAGGTTCACCTTCTACCTTTGACATTCAACCGTCTTGATTCAGCTTCCTCACTTCCGGACTCTCACTGCCTCCACCAACTTTGCTCACGTGACCATGCTCAGGGCTCCCACTTCCTTGGCCCTAACCCTCTGCACCTTTCTCAAGAATCCAGGGTCATTCCTACCCATTCCAGCAACTGGGGTCAGGAAACCCAATTAGAGAAACCTGCAAAGGGTTGATTCCATCATTCCCAGCGACCAGTGAGCTCTCCAGCTATTGAGTTAGAGTGAACCAAAGACAGTGCTTACTGTTTTCATAGCCTGCCCAGGGACATCACTCCCTATACTGACCAGCAGGAAGGAAAGAGCATCCTCCTCAGCCATTCCCAAGATTTCAAGATTCCAGAGCATCCTGTAGTGGATGCCCAGCTCCCCCTAATACAGTGGTGTAACCCATCCTGAACAAATGCCCAAATACAGAGGAAGCACTACATTTCTGCTCACTTTCTATTCTAACTGCATACATGTGCTTGAACTGGAGGTTAGATGCCAGAGCCTCCAGAAACTCACACTACACTCAAGGGCAGGAAACACACCCCTGTGAAGGGGATGGTTTTGCCTTTCCTCTCACCTAGGCTCATCTAAGCCTGCTTCCTCCAAGTTCATTTTGGAAGCTGCCTTACCCAGATTATGCTGAAGCAAATAAATCACTTGGATGTGGATCCTTTGTCAAATCATGACCCACAAGCCATGGGAGGCTATCCGCCCTGTGGTACCCAGACTTACCTTCAGGTTCCCTCCCCTCATCCTGCATCCCCTCAAAGCTGACAGGTTTGGGCAAGAGCCACAGAGGGCTCCTCTACCTCCCGTGAATCCGAGTGACTAAGGGACAGGGAAGAGCCAGTTGCCCGCCCGCCCGCGTCTCCAACTTGTCCTGGTGTCACCAGCCTGTCATCTACTCAACTGCTTGTTAGTACTTGCTGTTCTGTGGGGACAGGGAGGAAAGACAAACCCAGACCAGGCTGGCCTCCAACCGTCGGAGATCTCCCTGCTCTGCTTCTGAGTGCTGGGATTACAGGCGTGTACCACTACACCCAGCCTCTAGTGTTGTCTTATGACAAGGCTGAGGCTAGGCTCACAGGCTCACACCTGCAACCCAGCACTTGGGAAACAAAGGCAGGAGGATGCTTACAAGTGTGAGGTCAGCAAGCCACGTAGTGGCGACACTCGATTTTAATCCCAACACTCGGGAGGCAGAGGCAGGTGATCACTGTGAGCGATTGTGAGGCCAGCCTGATCTGCAGATCAAGTTCCAGGAGAGCCAGGGCTACACAGAGAAACTCTTTCTCAAAACAAAATTAAAATAAAAAGGAAAAGAAAATGCAGTTCAGAAAGTGATCTATTTATTAATAAATAAGGAAAGCACTTGAGAACGATGTTCCTAACTTATGAGCTGAGGGAGCCTGCAGGAAGGAAAGGAAGTAATGCTTGAAGACAGAGGGTTGGTGAGGGGTTGTGTGGCTCAGTGGTTTGGAAGCCAGAGACATGGGTGAAAAGCACTGTTCCTGAGGGCGCTGACTGAATGGCAGGAGAAAGGCTGAACGGAGAACTAGCCAGGAAAGAAACGGAGAGGAAATGGAATGACAATGAAAACTTCATAGGAGTATGTGGGACTCAAACTCAGCACTGAAGCAAGGAGCTGGGATGTGGGGTGTGGGGACTTCCCTGCTCATCACCCCTTCTCTCTGTGGAGTTGGGCAGTGGCAGCAGCAGAGGGAAGGAGAGTGGAGGGGCGGGAATGTAAGCTTCCCAGAGAAGATGCATCCCTCAGGACCCCTGTGGAGTCCCGGATGAGGGTGCACTGACGATGGGAAACCACGCCCCCAAACACAGCCAGCTGGACGGGCCACTGCACTGAAAACAGATCGCGGTCGGTCTACACTGCACTGAAAACAGATCGCGGTGGTCTACACTACCCAGCTGTGCCCTCTGTGCTCTCACTGCCCAAAGCCAGGCCCACACCGGCGAGGAGACGCCAATCTATGTACAGGGTGGCCATACTCAGGCTACTGTCACCTCATTCCCAGGGTTGGAAAGACCTAGGACCAGAGGAAGTAAGGGCCAAGTTCGGACCCTGCAAGAGCTTTAGTCCCTAGAGCAGAGGTTCCCGACCTTCTAAGGCTGCGACCCTTTAATACAGTTCCTCATGCTGTGGGAACCCCAACCTTAACATTATTTCGTTGCTACTCCATATCTGTAATTTTGGTACTGTTATGTATCACAATATTTGATATGCAGGATATCTGATATGTGACCCCTGTAAAGAGTCATTCAACTCCCAAAGGGGTCTCGACCTAAGTCTATCAACAGGTGGTAAATACAGCTACCTTCAGGGTTGAGCCTTCAGAAGCTCGTCAGTCACACAGCCCTCATACCCTGGTGCTTGACTCATTGAGACTTCCGTCCGGGTATGACAGAAGAAGAGCTCACAACCAGTGTTCCCAAGCCTGAGCGCCTCCATGACTTACTCTCCGCCCACTCAAGCATGTCCTCCCACCTCTGCAGAGAAAGAACAGTGTGGAAAGGGGCCGTCACAGAACGTCCCCGTCACAGAACGTCCGTCCCCACGGCCGCGTAGCTGCTGCACAGCATGAAGATCGCCTCCAAAGCTGCATAAGACAAGTTTAATTTCCAACCAGGGTCACAGTCATTGCATTATCCCACATTTTTGAGCAAGGATAGAGAAGGTGAGTTATTAAACATATACAGTCTACATTCCAGAGAAAGGAAAAAGAAAAAACCCACTTCAGAACCGCAGATACCACTGTAACACCACAAACTTCGGAGGCAGAGGGAAGGGGGAATCCCCAGAAAGAAAGCTGGAACAAGGAAGATCAACAATTAAACCAACTTCAGAAAAGCAGGAGAGGGAGTTTACAGAAATGGAATGGAACACGTAACCCCTAAGGACTTGTTAGGTGAATGGGAATATAGAAAGGCCCGTCCCCCACCTCCCCCCAGGAGCCAGAGATGTTACCAAGATGTTACTGCCCCCTGCTGGACATATCCGGAGCAGCATCAAGGCAACATCTACAGCTGCTTCCACCTGCTCAGCCTCAGGCTGGTCCCAGGAGGCTGAGAAAAACAAGATGCTGGGGCGGTGGGTGGAACTAGTACCTAAGAGGGAAGGTCAGAAAGCACAGCAGAGAAAGAGGCAAAGTCCTCCCCACTCACAAAGAGAGAGTAGGAAATCAAACAGAAGACAAAAACCAGGAAAAGAAAAACAGGCAACAACAGTGAATGAACTGAGAAGGCAAAGCAGAGCTCACAGATTGGCAACAGGGGAAAATGAGGAAACGGCGGAGAAAGTGTGGAGGGCAGTGTCCGGAGTGAGAGTAACGAACTCATTGTAAAAGGAAACACAACACCCGGCACCCCCCAGGTACACCTCACTCACACTCTCTCTCTCTCTCTCTCTCTCTCTCTCTCACACACACACACACACACACACACACACACACGGTATCTGGGGTTTAGTAACACAGCACTAAGTGCACTGAGGGAGACACCCCTGGAACCTCTCAGTTCGACTGGGGTAGGCTGGGGAACTGATCTGCCTGCTGTGGACAAAGCCGGCAGGAAACCTGGCCAGAGTGGAGCTCAGCAGGCCCTTCTGGGAAGGGGTCCGTCCCTCAGCCATCCTGCAGAGGGCCCAGGGTCCTGGCCTTAGCAGAGAGGTTAGGGCAGCTGGTTTGGGGCTCAGGGCGCAGCCAGCACACACAGGAGCCCAGAGAGCAGCCAGGGCCTCACTGCGACGACTTTGGCAGGACCCAGGGCAGAGCCTCAGGAGTAAGCAAGCGCCTTCCACAGACCGGCAGCAGCATCTGACCACCACAGGACGGAGGAGGGAGGCCCTGATTATCACTGCCCCAGCATCAGCCACACAGGGTCCTGTTTCCTCCACTCCGACCCGCTAAGCCTATTCAGGGACGTGTGTGAGGACTGAGGAAAGCTGCCAGCAAGGAGGGTCTGAGGCCCGCACACAGCCGAACATCATCTTTTAGCTGGTCCTGCCCTAGGAAGAGACTGGAGCATAGGGGTTGATACTGAGGTCTACTATGTCACCCCTACGCCATGGCTTCTGTTACCCCACCTGGTCAGTCCCCAGCAGGACAGGACTACTAGGTGAGAGAATCTGCCCAAGGACAGATGGAGCCACCCAGCCCCAAGATCGGAAGACTGAGGAAGGTCCCGGAGGGCAGAGGCAGGATGCTCCACACCTTACCTTCTAGTAACAAGAACAAGATGGAAATAGACCAGCTCCACCCCTCAACACGCAGGTCCCACTAACCCACCTCCCTCTGAGCTTCTGGGGAGGATCTCATGATGGTGGGGAGGACTGATCAAAGTGAGCGGGTCCCTCTCTCCTTCCTACCAACGAGGCAGCACAGAATGGCATCTCCTAGGAACAGTCATCTAGAGAGAAATGCCATTTCTTGCGCTCATAAGGGTGGAGAAGAAATATAAGGAAGACGGTTGCAGAGTCCACCATCTGTCCGAACATCCAGGAACACCAGCTGCGGAGACGAAAGCAACGGGACCCACCCATTTCCCCTGACCTCACCAACACAGAGGGCAGATGGCAGGCTCCACTGGGCAGTGTCCTGGCCGCAAGCCCTGAGCTGCACTCCACTCCCTCCCCGACCCCCACGTATACATCTCTCTATACACGTATATACAGGCGCACACATGCACGCACACACAGAGAGGCCCGTGCAATTTCCATGTAGAATAGGAGAGGGTTAGAAGGACAGGAAGATGGGGGAGAATGGCCAGGGAGACAGGGAAGGACTCGGATGCCAGAGCACAGCAAGCAGCCAGTGCCAAACAGCAACCGGAAAGAACAGCCCACTCTTCCTCCTGAAGCCCAGCAGGGAGACCACCCCATGAAACCATAACAGCCTCGTTTGTTTTAAATCCAGTAAATTGGAATGATTCATCATCAGGACAGCAGTGGGGGACTGATCATGTCAGTGACAGGGAGGGAGGGAGGGAGGGAGGCACAGGAGGCAAGGCTCTTGCTGGGCACGGAAACATGATACCCAGGACTGGCCACACTTTCAAGAGGAAGGAAGGGGAACTATGGCGGCAGGGAGACAACAGGGACGTGTCAGGAGTGGGTGGGCAGTCAGACAGGGCTGCGCCTGGCTCTCACTTCTTGTTTTTGAGCTGATTGGCCAGCCAGTCCAGGCCTTCATACAGCCCGTCCCCACTGGTCGCACAGGTGGCCTGAATGTACCAATTGCGGTGACGCAGAGAATGCAGACCCAGCTTGTCTGTGATCTCAGCAGCGTTCATAGCGTTCGGCAGATCCTGCAGTGCAAGGAGACACACACAGACACCTCAGGACCTCCCAAGTCTTCTGGAGCACCCGTTTACCAAAGGCACACCTATGGCCACCTTCTCCTTCATCTCAAGATCTGAACCAACTACTCCAGGCCCAGAAGGCCAGACCCAGACAACTTTCCATGAGGAGAGGTGGGTTATAAATGTGTGATTCAGACGGCCAAAGATCACGTCTGACAGGAGCAAGGCCAGTTCCACTACAGGGGACAGCAGGGAAGACAAAAACCCTGCAGAGACATATAGCTACCACATTCATCCTGAGGACGAAAATGCTGCTAAATTCAACTGGGCTGGAGAACAAGGAAGGGGGCATGAAGAAGCCAACGGCTTGTATTTCCCACACTACCACGTAGACAACAGTAGTCTCGGGCCTCTCCAAACAGTGACCCCCAAGGCTCCATGAAGTCTACAGTCAGGACAAGGGAGACATCGCACCTGCTTGTTTGCGAACACAAGGAGCACAGCATCCCGGAGCTCATCCTCTGCCAGCATCCTCATCAGCTCCTCTCGGGCCTCGTTTACTCGCTCCCGATCATTGCTGTCCACCACAAATATCAAGCCTAGAGAGAGAGAGAGAGCATGGAACACCCGGAGGTAACAGATGTCCCCCCATCACCACGCCCTCCAAGCATATACTCCCTTCTCTCCACTTCCAGGAGCTGCATCAGGCAGGGCTGGCTGCCCAAAACTGAAGACAACAGCCATGCTCTGCACAAACCCAGCAAAGCAGTGCCAACGCTGGCAAGTCTGTCTGCCATACCTTGGGTGTTCTGGAAGTAGTGTCTCCAGAGGGGCCGAATCTTGTCCTGGCCACCTACGTCCCATACTGTGAAGCTGATATTCTTATATTCCACTGTTTCCACATTAAACCCTTTGGGGGGAAAATGTCAATGGTCAATGGCCTCAAACACCACTTACAAATAATGACCACTAAGTTTATTCCCATTTCTTTCTTCTCAGCTTTGGACATGACACCAACAACAGGAAGCTTAAGGGATTCTAGGACCTGGTAACCCTTGACCTGGGTAGCCTGAAAGAAAATCTGAAAGAGCTGGAGAAACAGTTCAGCAGTTGGGAGCACTTGTTCTTGCAGAAGACTAGGGTTCAATTCCCAGCACCCACAAAGTAGCTCACAACCATCCATAACTCCAGTTCCAGGGGATCTGACGCCCTCTTCTATCTTCCATGGACACTAGGCTTGCATGCATATGGTGCACACACACACACACATACAGGCAAAACACACACACAGAAATAAGCATGCTTCATAGATAGATAGATAAATAGATAGATAGATAGATAGATAGATAGATAGATAGATAGATAGATAGATAGATGAAGGAAAATCTACAAAATCAACAATGAGGCCTGGTCAGAAGGTGCACAGCTGTCTGGATAACAGGAGCCAACCTTCTCCTCCATTCATTCAGATTCCCTTCTCCGTCCCACAAAGGAACCACCTTTTGCCCCTTGGTCACTAAGATGTACCTAAGGTGAGCTGTGGAGCTGAGAGGCAGAGACCTGAGACCGACAGTGCTGGGGCCTCAAGGTTGGGATGACGACCCACAACCCCATGTTTATAGCAAGGGTCCTCCCCCAGCAGGCAGGTCTTAACCAAGATCGCCACCACCAAAGATCTAAACCAAAGCAATTCCAGGCCTCTGGCAGGTACATCAAAGCCCTTCACCTGCTTTCCAAACAACACAGAGAACAATCCAACTCTAAAGCCTGAGGGCAACTGTTGAGTGCCAGGCTGCGGAAGTTCCCGAATCAGGGAGGGCCAGGGCAGGTGGGCAAACGGCAGCTCCAGCACCTGCCAGTAAGTTAAACAGATAGATACTCTCTGAAGCCCACGAAATGTGTGGACTTGCCTGGGGAGAATGGGCCAGGCGGGAGATCCACGAGCAAGCCCCTAGCCTTCCGTCAACCCGCAACAAGCTCGCCTAAGCTTACCAATGGTAGGGATGGTGGTGACAATCTCCCCCAGTTTCAGCTTATACAGGATGGTGGTCTTCCCGGCAGCATCCAGGCCCACCATCAGGATGCGCATCTCCTTCTTCCCAATTAGGCTCTTCAGAAGGTTTCCAAAGATATTGCCCATGATTACAGTGGCTGCTTTCTGAGGTCAGTGGGGCCCAGGGAG